ATATAAGCGTCGTCTGGCCGCGTCTTGGAAAGAGACACGCAACCTCGTGGAACAACAACTGATCAACGGTCAAAACAAGAGTGCAAGGACCAAGGCTAACCAAAAACCTATCGAGTTTGGCGAACAGACAGCCGTCTGGGTCTACAAATACTTCGCCAAGTCGACTCGACCAGACGATCATCGGACGACTAAGCTAGCCACGCATTGGCATGGACCCTTCCGAGTCGAACGCAAAATGGGACCAAACACGTACAACATCGACATACCATCACATCCTGACAAGATGGTAACTGTGAACGTCGACCGACTCAAGCCATTTCGGGGCTACTATTCACGACCGTTCGACGACGAGATCCCCGAAGCTTCCGACGAATTGTCGATCGACTGCCTACCCTCGTTCAGCTTGGTGGAACGAGTGTCCTTTCCAGATGACGAGGTTACTTACTCATCTACCTCGTCACCGATTTTCCTGGTAGTCGACCTGCGACGTCTACCTAACTCCCGCGAAAAGGAGTACTTGGTCAAACATGCCGACGGCCTTCAGTACTGGATGGCCGACTCCAAACTGGCCGCATACCGATCTTTTGTGGACGACTTCGAAACATCTCGACGAATGGACATGGGATTGCCACCACTTCGGCGTTCGAAACGATACAAAGACCTCGACGTGGAACCCCAAACGCTGGTTCAGTTCTAGACTACCTCGACAACAAGGACACATACATCAAAGCCAAATGGATTACTGAATACGCTTCACGACGGCCCTACTAACGATTCTTTAACGTCACCCCTCGGACGTCGACAGGCTGACCTCCCAACACGTCAGTATTATCCACGGGCAGCCCTGTACTTAACCGCACCGCTTTTGCCTGACCCAAGACCGCCACAAACTCACCTTGCAGGTTGGGGTCCGTCGAGTTCTGCCTCGCTACCCAGACGGGTTGTTCGTAAATACCTGCTGGAAATTGCACAAAGGGGAAAGGACTGCCACGCGTCGCCGCCAGGCCCGAGTTCGCCTCGTCGTACATGGGACCCACCCAACCTGGCGCCTTCTTGAGTCGCATCTGTGCAGAGAAGAAGTCCCAAGC